AGTCTACGTGGCATTCTATTTTGAGTAATTTTAAAATTTAAAATTTGTAAGTCTTGTTTAATTGTTTAAATTGGATATAAGAGTTTGATGAGAATATATAATACTTAAAGGAAAAAGATGGGATATAATATGATAGATTATATATATCGTGGGGTCACGTATACTATGTTTAGTTAAGATAGGATATATGATAGGATAAGAAGAGAGTGATTATTTTTAACTTTTGAATGAAAGATTCTTTATATCCAACGGTAAGGGATATACAATACCATAAGGGGGGATATTGCATATCCCCTTTTACATCATATACTATTCGGATTCTTTATATCCAAAACAAACAAACACCACCTCATATTAAATCTGACCCCGTCCTCATATCTACCTCTTATATGTGGTAAACAAACAGGGCCTTTGTTCAATTTTTGAAAAATAATTTGACAATTATCAAATAATAGGATCTGTTTGGTAACGTTTACGTTTTCAGTTTATATTTACAAAAATTTTACAAACTAGTTTTTGTTTATTTTTTGTTTATTTTTAGAAAAACATAAACTACAAATGTGTTTGGTAATTGACAAAATGTTTAAAAAAATTTAACAATATAAAAAGGAGTGAGAAATGGCAAGTGGCGGCGGAAGACGGTGGTGGAAAGTGGTGACAGTGGGTGGTGGGTTATAGCTTGGGTGGCGGCGTGGCGGATGGTTGGTGGTGAGTGGGTGGGTGACAATGGTGGTGGTGGTGGTAGCGAGTGGGTGGTGGTGGTGTGGTGGCGGCGGGTGTGGTTGTGTGCAAATGGTGGGCGAATGGCGGGTGGTGGTGGGTGGTGGTGGTGGGTGGGTGAGATGGCGGTGGCGGGTGGTGGCGGCGTGGATGGTGGTGGCGGTGGTGATGGTGGTGGGTGGTGTGGGTGACGGTGACAGTGACGGGTGATGGGTGGTAGCAAGTGAGTTGGGTGGCGGGTAAGGTGGCGGGTGGTGATGGTGGGTGGATGGGTGGGTGACGGTGGCGAGTGTAGCGAGGGTGGTGGTGGTGGTGGTTGGGTGGTGGTGGCGGGTGGTGGTGGTCCATGTGGGTGGCGGATAGCGTGGTGGTGATGGTGGTGGGTAGGTGCGGGTGTAGTGGTAGTAGGTGGGTAGGTGACGGTGCGGGACGATGTGTTTAGCGATGGGGTGGTGGTGGTGGGTGGTGATGGCGGTTGCGGTGATGGCGATTGTAGGTGTGGTGGTAATGGTGGTGGTGGTGGGTGGTGGGAAGCGGTGACGGGTGAGTGGCAGTGGCTGGTGGTGGCGGTAAGTGGTGGATAGTCGGTGAGGATGGTGGTAGCGGCGGTGGATTGGTCCGGGCGGATGGTGTTGGTAGTGGTGATGGCATGGCAGAGGTAGCTGGTGTGGTGATGGTTGCGCGTAGTAGCAAGTATGTGAGGTGCGTTGCGGCGAGGGGTGGCAGCGTGATGGTGGTCGGTGCGGGTGGTGGCGGAAGACGGTGGTGGAAAATGGTGGCGGGTGGTGGCTAATGTTGGGTGGTAAAAAAAAAAAAAACTGAAAACTCAAAATGGAAACACATTTATTGAGTTTACATTTTTTGGCCAAATTTATAAACTGAGACCACTGATATAAATAAAAAATTTACCAAACAGGTTTTTATTTGAGTTTTTAAAATTTTTGTAAATATAAACAGAAAACTGAAAACGTAAGTATTACCAAACGGCACCTAAATAATATGAAATATTTCTCAAAGGCAACAAAATAATGTCTTAAGTGGTGTTTTGGAAAGTTAGTAAAAAATTGACTTTTTAGTTTTTTGACTTTTTTGGTGGCTTTTTTGGCAAAAAGTTGGGTTGCTTTGGGTAAAAAAGTTGATTTTTTTGGCTAAAAAAGCTAAAAAACTAAAAAATTGACTTTTTACCATTGTCCCCAAAAGACCCCATTGAAAAAATCTCTATCCTAAAATAATAGTCATTTTTGAAAAATTCAAATTTTTTTTATAGTACAATTATTGTACTTTAAAAATATTAATTTTCCCAAATTACTCTTTAATAGTACATTTTTTTGGAATATCAATTATCATGATTGTACTTTTTGTATTATTAATGAATTTAAAATAAAGATAAAATAGAAAATTCATATTATTTTAGTCATTGATTTTTGAAAAAAGACTAATATTTTAAGACAATAAAAAATAAAATAAGAAACTAATATTTTGAGATGGAAGAAGTAATAATAGTACACATTATTTTATTACTTTGAGAAAAATGTCAAAATCAGATCTTATGATTGCTTTAGTATTAAAAAACATATAAACATATTTTAAGATGTATAAAAGATTGTGTTAAAATTAGGGAGATTGATCAATAAGTCTCATATTTTGAACTTATAATCCATATAGTTTCATATTTTTTCCTGTGATCTATTTGGTATTTTTGGATGTGTAATGACTCGTTTATTCGTCACATTGGAGTATCACATTTGAAAAAAAGTACATTAAGGAGTTTTTTAATGTCATATCACACTTGTCACATTAAAGTGTCACATTTGAAAAAAAAATACACTAAATAGTTTTTAATTTTTTTAGAGTGTCACATTATACCCGTCACATTGGAGTGTCACATGTCACATTTGGAAAAAGTATACTATAGAGTTTTTAATTTTTTTATAGTGTCATATCATACCCGTTACGTTGTCACATTTGAAAAAAAATATACTAAAGAGTTTTTAGTTTTTTGCAGGGTCACATCATCCTTACCATATTATCATATTTGAGAAAAGTATATTAAGAAATTTTTAATTTTTTTATAGTAGAATTTTTAGAGCGTCACATTATACCTACCATGTTGTCACATTTGAAAAAAATACACTAAGGAGTTTTAATTTTTTTAGAGTGTCACATCGTTGGAGTGTCACATTAATACTTGACACATTAAAGTGTCACATCATACCTGTCACATTAATAAAAAGAGTATAATTGTCCACTAAAACACTACAAAATAAAAAATAAGACTATACCGAAAGAAACTCTTCACTAATAGAGCTTAACCGATCAATAGATATTTTATGGTTATATTTTTTGAGCGTTGCGTTTTTTTGGATCTATTTTTTTAGAGCTGGTTGTGTTGGCTTATTTTTCATATGAAGAAAAATATCATAAATGCAAGCGTGCTACCAATGATTGAAAAGTCTTTACAGATTAAATTCAAGCCAATTATCAAACGATTGTGTTAACGGTTCTTTTGTCTTAATGAAAAGTATTTCAAAATTGTCAAGTGTAGAGAAAAGAAAAATTAAAAGAAGAATGAGGGAAACGGAGAAAGATGATTTAGTGAACAATCAAACTAATCATTAATTTCCCTCCATTCCTATGCTTCGAAAAGGAAATGCATGAAATAAAGTATAGAAAATTTACCTTTACTCTTATGTTTCGAAAATGAAGTGCATAAAATAAAGTGCAGAAAATTAAGTGTGGGAAATATAAATGACAAGAAAAATAGAAATTAATTGTTTTTTATTTGAGTTCTGGCTCTTTTACAATGTAGCTATGAATGACTATTTATAAGAAAATATTTGTAGGAAAAAATTACCTAATAGCTACCATAGTCTTCCATCTTCCACACTTCACACTTCATGATTTTTCACTTCATCTCTATGTCTCCATAATTTTTTTTAATCTCCAATTCATGCTTAATGTTTTCCACATTATGCTCCATGATCCTCCACATTGTCCATCATTATTTCACATGTGTTTAATGATTCATAACTTCTCATAACCTTCAAATGAGTACGTGTCCAGCAATTATAAAATAATAACTAATAATAAAATTATTTATTTATGGTGCCAACAGTTTAGAAACATAGTTTTAACTATTTTACTTTTTAATTTTTTTATGAAGTGAATAAAATTATCATGTTTGGAACTTTTTTTTAATTGAGCAGATAATTATGACATTTTAATAATGAAATTAAATTTATTGACTTCTGACTAAAAACTCGAAAAACCTCTTGTCAAACTGGGCTCACTACAAGAAATATCTATTTTGGTGGCGTATGTTTAATGGCATTTTTTAAAACGTCACTGTTTGTAATATTTAATGGCATTTGAAAAACGTCGCATTTTTCTCTAATCAAAACGGTGCCGTTTCAGGAACAGAAGATGTTTATAAATGCCTTGAAATGGGTTCTGTCACGCACGCTCCCCTCTCCTTGTTTCACCTTTATTTTGAATCTGACTCTCGCTCTCACTCTCTCAAAATCTTACATCGTTGATTCATCAGAGCCATTTTGAAGATCTTACATCAGTGATTCATTAGAGCCATTTCGAAGTCCTCTCTCAAAATCGATTCAGATCGGTGAGTTACTGTCTCTCTCTCTCTCTCTCTCTCGCTCTCTGTTGTCTAAACCCTAATTATCTTAGAGATTCAGAGATTCGGCTTGGTCTCAGTGAACAGATCGGTGATTCATCAGAGCCATTTCAAAGTTCCCTCTCGAAATCGAAATCGAAATCGAAATTGAAGTTCATCTCAGCGATTCAGATCGGTGAGCTCCATTGTTTCTGTCTCTCTCTCTTTCTCAAGCTGAACTCATATTCAGATCGGTGAGCTACTATCTCTCTCTCTCTCTCTCGCTCTCTGTTGTCTAAACCCTAATTATCTTAGAGATTCAGCTCGGTGATTTGGAGATTCAGAGATTCGGCTTGGTCTCAGTGAACAGATCGGTGATTCATCAGAGCCATTTCAAAGTTCCCTCTCGAAATCGAAATCGAAATCGAAATTGAAGTTCATCTCAGCGATTCAGATCGGTGAGCTCCATTGTCTCTGTCTCTATCCGTCTCTCTCTCTCTCTCTCTCTCTCTCAAGCTGAACTGATATTTGAATGACATCTCGTTGATTTCGATTTGGATTTCAAAGCTCTCTCTGTCTCTCGATTTCGAAGGTCTCTCTCACTCTATTGCGAAGGTCTCTCTGTTGATTTGGTTGTTGATTTTCATTTGTGCAGATCAAGGCATTGCATATGCGGAGATTAAGGCATTGAGAGAAGGCAGAAAGGTTCGGATCTACCCCCTTCTATCTCTCTCTCTCTCTCTATGACTATCGTAAATCTGATTTGGTTGTTGATTTTTGTTTGTTTGTGTTGGTTGTTGATTCTGTTTTGTTAATGATTCTGTTGATTTTCGTTTGTTTGTGTTGGCTTTCAATTCTAGGTGTGTCGATCAACAGGAAACAGCGAGTGGTGCATCCTCCTAAGCCAAAAGAAGCCTCTTTGGCTATCAAATGGGAATGTATTTAATATTTTCATTAATGGAAAATTGGATAAAGGTGTGATTAATCAACTTTCATAGCATTTTCTAGTTGCCTGTTGCATAAAATTTGAAATGGAGTTCACTTAGTAGCTACTTGTTCCTCAGTTATTTCAATAGCATTGCACTTTTCATGCAAACTGGAGTCACTTCACCAGTAACATGAAGATTCTTTATGTTCTGTTGTTAGCTATTGGTGGGGAATATGAATGAGGTAATGATGTAAAACTACTTGCTTTAGTTGTATTTCTAATTTATTTTTCCCAATTTGTTTCCTTTTCTTAATATATATATAAATTTGTTCCCCCAATTTATTCAATTGCTCCAGCTCTCTCTCTCGCTCTCGCATGCCCTACCTCTCTCTCACGCTCGCCATCATGGTTCACAAGTATGGATCTCTCTGTGTAGGTTTCTCATTCTCTCTCTCGGTCTCTTAATCTCTCTCTTGATCTCTCAATCTTGAAGACCTAAGATTTATATATGTGTTTTTTTTTTCTCTATAGCGAATTGGCATTGAAGCTCAGAGCAATTGTAGAGGTCATCTACATTCCTCAATTCTTTTGCTAATTCCCGTATGTGTTCAAATTCATTCGTTCATTTCTGTCTCTATATGTACTATGGATATATATATATATATGTATAATTCCAGATGTATTCATGTTCCCTCATATTTCAGAAAGTATACTATTGATATCTTGAAGTAATGGTATATTCATGAACAGGCCAAAAGTACTTGAGGTCACTCCAACTAGCCCTATCTTAACCGAAGGAAAAAACCTGAGGAAAAAAGACCTTAGTTGTTGAGCATGAGTTAGTCAAGTCTGTTTTTAGTATGTATGATTTCAAAATGCATTCTAATCCTTTAATGTTATGTTTGAATATGGTTTGAAAAGGGAAATGATTTGAGGCCTATTTGGTTGTGTTTTTATTTATTTATTTAGTTTAAGAGATAAAAGTGAAACTAACCCAATAAGAAAAGATAAATGTAAGGTTGTGATATTATATATAATATTAGGGAGGGGTGAAATTTGGAAGAAAATTTTGGACAAGGAAGTTGTAAAATTTGACAGAAGACAAAATTCAGATGGAATAGGCTGGTCACAGAGCTTAAAATATTTAAGAGATGTGTTAATATTTTATCCTTGGGAATAGTTAATTTGGCATAATCTTACCTGTTTGCTTCATTACACACTTTAATTTGTTTGTATTCCCAGCTTCGGATCATTATAAAACCAAAGCCATGCATTGGAGTTGGCCCTTTATGTGCTGCACAGTAGGTAGATTTTGCATGGTGAAATAATTGCCATGTTTTCTGCTAAAGAGACTCGTAATATTGTGCAAATTATGAGAAAGGTTACGTTAGGACTCAATTTATCCCTTCCAGACCCATATCCAATGGGGACTAAACTAGTCATACACACAATCATCAGGTGATACGGTGATCATTGCTCATAAATGAACATCTAGCACTGGATTTGATTTTGCCCTGGCCATAATTTTGTCAAACTGTTACCTATGATGTCCACTGTTGTTTTGATGGTGTGAGTAAGCCCTGCTTTGGCAGCAATCAGTGGTTCAACAAGTATAATTGAAATATAAACCACTGATTTTGAGTTCTTTGTTGCTGGTAAATACTAAATAGTAAATATAGTCACTCTTTAATAGTTTGTGTTTTTGCATGTGCATGTGTTTGCTAGCATTTAAATTAGAGTTTTTCCCATTTGTTTTGCAGAATAAAACATAGTATATAATTTTCTTTTATTGAGCAATATATATATTTGATTCTGATATATTTTGCCTTGATAATTTTAGGTCACCAACAATTATTTCCATTCCAAAGTCATCTGACAGTGTCTCCTCTAGTTCATCACGAAGCAAGACTCGGGGGAGGTTAACTCGCAAGTTAGCATATGTTCTTGAAGTTGTTAAGTTGTGTCATGGGTGGATGTATCTTCGTCATCATTTCTGGTTTGATTGATTAAGTTGGCTAATTTAGTGGACTAAATACTTGATTTTTGTCTTTTTCTCAAGAGATTTGCAGTTGTACAAGTTGGTATTTCAAGATGATGCACTGCCTGATGGAACTGAACTAGCTTATTTTGTTCATGGGCAGGTTGTTAAGATGAGCACATACATATTATTATTTTGGTTTAAGGAAATGTTTATGTTGCTTTTTATAAAGATCAAATGTATTAAACAATTAACATATTTTTTTTATTTGTGGAAGCAACGCTTTCCCAGTGAAGCACCTTGTTGTGATATGTATTTGTTTTCTGATTACTTGTCATCTACAGAAATGCACAGAAGGTTATAAGAAGGGTTTTGGAATATTTTGCCTTTGCTGCCAAAGTGAGGTACTTTTTTTTTGCTGCTCGAGTTGCATCTTTATTTGATTCTCATTGAGGTGTTTACTATTTCAACATTTGTGAGCAGGTCAGCCCTTCTCAGTTTGAAGCACATGCGGGTTGGGCTTCTTGTCGCAAGCCGTGAGTGTTCTTTTGATATTTTTGGGAATAGTGAACATGTGGTTTCTGTGACCATTTATACATCATTAGATAACTTTTTTTCCCCTAATGCAGTTACCTACACATCTTCTTTTTCCTTGGCATAAGTGTGGTTATGTATCAGAGGAGCAAACTCACAGCTTAATCTTGGACTGAACTTTTATGGTCAATTAGTCTTTTAGTTTATCATTTGATCATTTGATTGATATTCATGTAGTCGATGCTTATCTAGTTGGGTAAACTAGTGAACGCATTTAACCATGGAAATAACATAATTCATTTATGTTTTTGCAACAGTTGATCACTCCAGTTGTTATAATGATTGCTTTGTTCATTGCAAACTCACATGGGAAACCTTTGTGTATTTAAAGTAGACCTTACGGGTTAAGTACTATCATCAATTTACTCATATACACAGAGCCCCTTGGAAATAATCTTTCTCTACAGTGGTAACATCCTGTTGTCAGTGTGTGAAAAAGGAATGACATATGCAACTAATAGAATCAATTCCAACTTTGTCAATTAGGATGATCAGCTGAGTTTATATAGAAAACCCATAGTTTGACCAGTAGTAGTTGTGGTCAGCAATATCTCAATGTCTTGGTTTAGATAGTGTTTAGTTATTCTAGTAAGCATGTCTTGGTTCCTTTGGGCAGCATCATGCTATTGGTGGTGTTGTGTAATTGTGATATGCAATATCACCAAGTCTTGGAGGCAATGGTTTTAGATGTGATTGTGATATTTAATGCCAGTAACCAATACAATTTTGTCCATTTATGAGGTAACATAAACAACAAAGTGTATGTTGAAAATTATATATTGAATTTACTTGGAACTCTCTGAATTTGAATTCTGTGAGATCTGAGATTCTTTGTTACTTGTCAAAACTTAGCACTTCAAACATATATATATACACCTTACCTTGTTTTATAGATAGATGTAAAATATCAACGTTCTCTAGAGCTTGAAAAGTTCTAATTATTGAAATAGGGAAATGGTAAGGATCTTGGTTCTGTTATTTTAGTCAGTAAAAGTGGCTGAACTTTTAGAACCTTAATTTTAATTAATAAAGGGTCTTACCTTGCTGAATCTCTATCACCTGCTCTATAATCGTTCTCACTTTGCATTTTGTTTTTGTGGATTCTACAGCAGTTCAGCACTGAAGTTTTACGCATGCAACAAGAAATTGCAAGGCTCAGGGAGAACACTGCACATTTTCAGGCTACGGTTGAGACGAAACTCGTAAGTCCTCTGTAAATTATATTGGTTCTCATTTCTTTTTTTTTCCCCCTCCATCATACGCAAAGCTTTAACATTTTTGGTGCGTTATGGCAGGAGACACTTTGCTGTGAACTTTTAAAGTAAGGGCCTGGATTGGGTTTCAAGTGGTGGTCAGAGTCATGGAAGTACCTAGTTTATATTTGGTTCTATCAAAACATGTTACAGGTTTTTGTTTGCTTTGTGTTTTAGAAACTGTGTTTGAATTCTAATCTCTATTTGGTTGTGTATGAGTCTGTTTAATGGTGTTCCCACATATGTATGTTGAGTGTAGTGTTGTAAGATGATTGGGATATATACTGTATATTTGATTGGTAAAATATATAAATTTACAACTCTGTTCACTGTTTCATTTTGATTTCTTTGTTTATTTTGAAAAGGAAAAAAATAATTTAATTGACCATTATCACTTGTGCCATGGGAGTTAATCTATGAGAGTGTCAAAGCTCCCTCATAATAAGATTTTATTGATTTATACCTGTAAAATTATACTTTATACTAAATTTTGTAGTTACTAAATTTTATTGATTTCTTAATAATAATAATCTTAGATTGTTGTTGGATGATGTGAAACTGTGCATGAGATGGCTGCTTGGTTTTTTGGGATTGAACTTATTGGATTTTTTTCTTGAAGGATGTTGTATTGGGTACTATTATAGACGTGAGGGAATAGTAATCTCACAGAAATATATGTCTATACAAAGTTTTATTCATATTGCTATTTTACAGGTATATATTTAAAATTAAATCTCACAAAATTAGTAGTTTAAAAAAAAAAAAATCTATTGCGGCGTTTTTCAAAACGCCACTATAGTTATATTTTTAAAATAATAAAAAAACTATTATGACGTTTTTGAAGCGTCGCTGAATGCCTGTGTGACATCATGTTACCGTTGGCTGCCACATTTAGCGGCGTTTTTATAAACGCCGCCATACTAATTTTATGACGTTTTTAAAACGTCATAAACTTACAGCGACGGCCGTGTCCTCGGCGTTTGGTGGTAAGCGTCACTAAATAAATTAAACGCCGCTAAAAGTCATTTTTCCACCAGTGGCTAAACCAAATTTCATAAAACCATTAATTCAAATTTATGACATAATATAGTTACCTTTATTATCATCATCAAGTAGATTCATGTACTCAAATCATAAAACACTAATTATCTTTAAATATAATTTTTTGTATATTTAAAAAAAATTACAAATTGCATGTATATATATATATATATTTAAGCGTATATAGATCAAGTGAATTTAAAATGTAAAAATAATAAAATATATATTGAAAACTCATAAAAGTATTTTTAAAAATTCAAAACCAAATAGAGTGAATAACTATCTCATTTCAGCAAATTTCATGAACTTAGGATAGACTAATCGAAGGGGAAAAATGAAACAAACAACTGAAGCAGAAGCAGAAGCAGAAGTAAAAGCAGAAGCAGAAGCAAAAGCAAAAGAGCAAAAGGGCAAAAGGGCAAAAAGAGATAACTTAGGAGAGGCAAGTGTAATTTATACTTGGGTGAATTACACTAACGGTTCCTATAGTTTGGAACTTGTGTCATTTTGATCATTAACTTTTCAACTTTTTTGGCTTTTTGGCTTTCGAAGGTTATTTTTGTAATTGTGAGCGTGTCAGCAAGGATCAATCAGTCCTTACAGAATATTAATTGCTAATCAATTATCAGACGATTGTGCTTTAGTTCTTTCAGCCTCAATGAAGAGGACTTTTACTAATGGCTTTGTTTAGGAGAATTAAGCAAACAATGATTAAATGAAGAACAATTGTAGCATTTCATTAAGCAAAATGAAAGACTTACAAATATCCAAATCAGCCTCGTAGAGGTTTATAGCAGCAAGTTACTTGAAAATTACTCCTATGAACGAAATGCAGTGCAGGAATTTGAAGTACATGAATGTAAAGAACAAGAAATATGAAAACTGGAAGGAAAAATAAAGTAGATAAAACTGGTTTTTTGGATCTGAGTCTGGGGACACTTTCTGGGGCCTTCTCTGCTATTTATACTTCTCAATGACAACCGTCGAACTACACTTCTAACCGTCGAACCTCCCCTCCATGATCGCTAATCATGTTAGGCTTCCCTCCTGATTTTGAATTTAAATATGAGTAACCTTTGAAGCCATATTATTTTGCATCTCTTTGCTGATCCAGTGCTACGCAGATCTTATCAAAACCAATACTAACTGCCACGTATACGATTACAATCGAAGATTTGAATTGTCTTCCCGTATTACCCTCATCCTGCCACGTGTTGAACTGTGATTGACTTTTTACTAAATATGTAGCCAACATTACCCCCCGCACTAATATACCCAATACTTGGTGATATTAGTGGATCAAGGTATTTTACCCACGTCTTAGAACGTGCATGGGCTTTGCATTTTTTAAAAATGCAACCGTCATTCATCCATGAAATATTCGCATTAAATTTATTTCTAACCCTCGAACACTTCCACTATCTCAGTATTCGAAAAAACTAGTTCAGCTCTCATGGCCAAACAGACCTTTTCTTACCTCGATCAAGCATATGAAGAGTTGTTTGATGATGCTGTTCGTCCTCAAAAGAATCTTCATGCATTGATTAGCCATCTTTACCCACCTTCCTATATTCAAGTCATGGAAGCTTTTGCAAACTATCGACCTTTGGACTACAGACCTGTTATTCGCAATTCTTTAACCCAAAAATTTGCAAACATGGATATTAGAAGCTCTTCTTCTGACCCAAAACCTTCTGCGTGGGATGAAGCTGCAGCTTCTTCTTCTTCCAGGGCTTCTGGTTGGAGAAGCTGGCCGGAACCTGAGGAGTCTAAGTTAAGGGAACGAATCAATCATCATTTTGTTAAATTTGTTGATCCCCTAACTTTCCCCTATTTGCTCGGAGTTCGGTGGTTTACCCATATGCACCCATCGACCGTCGACGCCATTTGGAAGACAACTTACTCATAGCATGGTACACATTGTCCATGCCTACGAAGATAGTACAAGCCACGCACCGTCCAGAAGAGGCTCTAGAGTACAGCCTGTCATTCTTAGCCCAAAAGGCAAAACTTTGTTCTTCTAACTGGCTTGATATCGTCAACAACCCCCAATTTCCTTTTTTCAAGATAGAAACTCCTGCACCTCTTCTCCCGTAAAACCCTCATCGGATAGAGAAATTGAGACCTACCCTCTTTGAGGACCAGTTTCTCCCCACTTATCACCCTCCATCTCCTCCTTCCAAACATCAGCGACAACAAGTCTAACTTCTGCTTGCGGCCTTTTCTCACTTGCCCTTCAATGTTCTCGAGGACGATGTTCCTCTCAAAAACTATTGATAGGCCTGTGATGTTATGACCCAGGGTCATGTCCTCAACCTTATTGCCTAGGCAGAGCTCCAAATGTTTTTGGATCAACTCCCATTGCTTCTTTATTGGCACCACATTTTTGTGGCCACCACTCGATCTTTGGATCAAATCTCAGCCCGTCGAGTTCATACCCAATATGAAGCCAAGAACCTCATCGATGAATATAATGATTTCAAGAATAAGGATTCTGCATACTGGGATGACTTAGACATGGATGAGATGGAACAAGGGTTGAAAGAAACAGAATTCGAAGTAAAGGCCGAAAAACTTTTTTACCAAGTAAGAGCATATCAACTTCAGCAGCCTAGCCTGGAGAAGATAGAAGATAGAATAAAGAAAGAACAGAAGTTCATTGATCATAGTTGGAGCAAATTTCATGACCTTGTTATTTGTTCTATTCCTTATTTTTATGAACTCGAATATGTAGCCAAAGAAGACTTCTGATATAATTGATTTTGTTTTAATAAAGCTAAGATGTTTTCTTTTACTTGGCATGGTTTGATTTTACCCCATTTGTCAAAGTCAAACAAACTTAGGGCTTCGAAATCAACAATTTCATCCTTCGAATCTTAATTCGATCAAACTTAATGAAACAATAAAAACCCAATTTGAACTTTTCCAACTTATGGAGTGTAATTAACAACTTTTGCTGGTTCCCTTTTAGAATCAGAGCTCCGAATTCACCAATTTTGCCCTTCGAAACTTGATTTGATCTTATCCAACCCCCCAACATATGGTTAATATAATCAAGGACTTTCAAATCAATTTTGTTTCGACAAACAGTCTATATTTTCCACTACATGGAAACTTCCGTTAAGTATTGTACTAGTTTATTCGAAAAAAGTAATTTCTTCTATATACTATCGAACCAACTATTGGTTTGAAACTTAGAACAAACAATTTCTAACCGAAAAGTGTTTCAAGTTTTGCTTTGAAGGATTTTACTCTCATTTAGAAACCTACAAACATGTCCTTAATCCTTTTGAAGTAAACAAATACCTAAGCACTCTTTCACCGTGAGGCGTGGAATGTGCTTCGAAGTCGGCTTCCTACTTTCGAAGCCGTTTGTCATTTCATTTTGGCGCCAAAATTTGGCTTCGAAGCCAAATGTTTTATTTCGAAGCTGACATCAGTATTTGAGATGTGTTTCCCTCCATAATTATCAATATAGAAAGAAACTTTTCGCATACGTAACTTTAGTACTTCTTTGTGAATTCCGTTCGTACAACACGACTAAGTATATTTTTTAGACACAAAAGTTTTAAAACCCTTTTATTTCGTGCTTTGAATTCACCTATTTGCCTATCACATAAACCTTTCATCTCTACTGACCTTCATTTTTCCTCTACTCTCTTTCCCGACTTCATCTTCTAAGAAAACTTTTCTATCCATGGCTTCTTTTTCTTTGAAAATACTGTTCATGGAGCATGCGAGTCCGTCTATGACCTTGAAAAGGATTATTAATGCAGAGTGTGAGAAGTACAAGGCCGGTGAGAAAAGCGCCATTGACGGACGCATCTTCATTCCTCGTCGTCATGAGCAACAAGAGTATGTGCTTGGGCCCATCTTCAGGGAGATTCCTATTGAGCTTCCAGCTCTATA